ATTTGACATGTGTCGACAGTTTTCAGTTCCATTACATCACCAACGCACCCAAGCTTACCACACCTGGTATTCCCAAGTGGTCACTCATCTAGTTACTGACCAGACTTGACATTGCTTAACTTCGGTGATCCTACTAGAACCAGCATACGGGATCTCACTTTCTTAAATCTATTTCAAGTTTCTTTAATACTGTCAAATATTTTAATATATTTTAACTTGGAATCAATAGTCTTAGATTGCATAGATTTCTAACTGTAAGTATTTTGAGACGGGCGGGGGAGCAGGGTGAAGAAAAAATCTTCCAAGACACAAACTGGACGTTCTACGGCTTTATAATTGTAACACTGGGTCGGCGATATTCTGCCCACAGCTAAGAAAAAGACTTAGTGGAACATGATCGAATAAACGATTGAATGGACGGCACAGTCTTTCGTCTATATCATAGAATTTATGAGGAATAAATTTATGAGGAAAGAAACAATTCCGATAAAGCTCACCATGTTTGTGTAAAAACAAGCAACAAAAGAACTTCACCAGCTACTTTTGCTGCATAGGCCCTTGGTGGGCGTGGTCTTAGGGAGACGGTTTCAATTCCATGATAAAGTTGCCTTTTTCTTTCACAGTCGGTGATCGCTAGTCGTTTTGGTTCGGAGATAAAAGAGACAGCAACAAAGATAATTTTAACTTAACTATTTTATTCACGTCGAGGCATAATATCTTTTAACTAGACTTTGGTGTCGCTCTTTCCCTCAACTGGGTGACGTTGCAGTTTACATTGTTCGACGGTTTAGACTAAACTCCTTGAAAAAAACCTTTTTATATCATTGTAATTCCCACGCACGTCCAGCCAATCAAAATCGACTTCCTTTGTTTTGTCCTGTATCTGACCATAAAGGTCAAACTGAAGTAGTCAGAAAAGAAATACACTTCTCTAAAAATAATAGTCTGCTAAATTATTATTTAACACTTCGAGTCCTGTCCCAGCTGATGTCATTGACGATCCACAAACAAGCCCTCCTCCAATAAATTTTTTAGTTTTTCTATTCATTTTGGTATGTTTTCCACCTAAAATATATTTTTTTTTTTTTTGTATGATTAGCAAATATTAAATTGTACTGTAAAATGCAGTGCTTGAGTTAAGTCTGACGAACGTAAGAATAAAAAACGAAACAATGTGTAAAGAGATGATGCAAATGGCGTCGAACGTAAAGAAACCGTAAAAATTATAAAAAATACAATAATACCTAAAGAAAAATAAAAAAGATTGCAAAATTAATTAATGACATTTTTACTTTTGTTTATAAATACTTGCTTCAAAATAAAATCCTTAGATCTGCCTAGAAAATCCATGAGAGGACGAAACGCGTCGGCTATGATAAGTTTTACTTTTGTCTTAGTTCATATTGTACTTTTACAAATATATTTTAGCTATATCTGAAATTTCACACACACAAAAACACACAGAGGCACAGACAGACAGAGTAGGGTAGGTTGATTTTTCACTTTCTTTTTTAGAAAATCAACATTTCGCTCGGTGTAGAAGCGGGCGGTTCATATGATAAATATTGACACCAAAAATTAGATTCATAGTTTTTGCCAGTTTTTAATCATTTAGTTTTAAAGACCGTCTGAAAAAATATACATAAATAACTAGTTTTTGTTGACTTCAAAATGTTACTATTTCAAGAATAAATCCAAATAAAGTTGATATCTTTTGAATTAGATACATCGAATGGAAAATATATCCAAACCAGAATTCTAATTATGAATCACCACAAGCAAAATATGCAATTTTTTTTACTGTATTCAATAAGTAATATTCTAACAAATCGTTAAAACATTTGTTAGATCATAAGTAATAAAAATAAAAAAAATAGATAAAAGTGTATATAGTGTCGCCTCTCTCTGTCTTTTTTACAAATACTTTCATGGTAATTGCTCCGAGGAGCTGCATTCGCTGGTTCCCAGACTTCATGAGTTCAAGCGCCCTACGAGGCTGGCATCTCGCTCTCACCCTTTCACTGTTGAAACTATTAAATGTAGCCGTCTCTTCTACTCCAATAGCTTCATATCTCGCACCACTCGCTTGTGGAACTCTCTTCCCTATTCCTGTTTCCCTGAGAGCTATAATCTCCAACTATTCAAATGTAATGTCAATCGACATCTCCAGTTGCCTTGATCTATCCACTATCCTTCTCCTCATCATTTCCTCTATCACTCCTATCTGAGCTTGCTCCAAATCTTCTGTAACCCCATGCGTCTTAGTGGCTTTCCGCCTTACTTGGGGTGAAACGCTTAAAAAAATAACACCATAATACTGCTGGGCACAAATTATAAGATAGAATCTTTTAAATTTGCATTGTTTACTGAAAACTACTGGTCTGTATAACATATTACATCATAATATAGATAAATTGTTCATTATAATTTCCCTTTGAATCAAATGAAGGTCTTATTTGATGGCACAATAATTTAGCAATAATATGCGTGTGCCTTGCATGTTTTTCATATAAAATCTGTAATGCTTCAGTAAAATGTAAATTTTATAAGGCCGTGCTGTAAGACTTTCACTGATCGCAGGGATGAAATAGCAACGCTACGATTTTGAAGTGAAACTTTCCCGCTCCCCCAAAATGGTAACAATTGCGAAAAAACTATTCTGTGTCATTATTTAGCATGTCAAACCCCAACTTTTAAATTGAGTGCAATATCATGGTTCCAAAATCCACACGCACACACAAACACACTTATATATATATATATATATATATATATATATATATATATATATATATATATATATATATATATATATATATATATAATATTAATTAACTGATTTAAAATATGGAAGATATATTCGCTTGAAGATGAAACGGAACTAATGCTTTTAATTTAATTATATAATTAAATTTAAAGTTTTTAGCTTCCATTTTTGAAACATGGTTATTATTGTGTAGCGATAAAACCATATTTTAAATCAGTTCATTTATAATATTTATGCTCGGTAAATTTTCATTGAGCATTGTTTTGTAAAAATAAAAATAAAAAATATCAATAAGAATACTGGAATATATATCTTACTATTCTTTATATATATATATATATATATATATATATATATATATATATATATATATGTTGGATTCTCCCGTCATTTATCGAGGTATGAGGGTCAGACAATTGCACATGTGATTTGATTATAGTGGTGAAGGCTTTGTGCAGAAGCAACCACACTTTTTGAAGAGCCAAATACAGAGACCTGGTGCACCACGTGCCACATGGATAACAAACGACACCCCCACAGGTTTTGAATTCAGAGTTGTCCTTCTCCTAGATGAGTTGTCATCTAAGGCTATAGAACCCACTCTGTCCCGCTATTCACATAGCTTCGCAGAAGAGGATTCATACCTTTCGATGTAATGGATTCGAACTCGGCTCTCCGATTTCTCAATTCGAGCCGCTATCTATTAATCCACTGGCCTCATATATATATATATATATATATATATATATATATATATATATATATATATATATATATATATATATATAAAGGATCAAACACTAATATTCCATGGTTATGATTTATTAAATTGGAATCGTAATCACGATCCAATTCATCAGACCTACAAATTATATTCTTACTCTGTACTGGACATTGAGTTCTACCTGGATTCTATCCTTTTGGGATATATATATATATATATATATATATATATATATATATATATATATATGAGATACTATTTGTTGTTGTCGTGTTAAAAGGGAAGAAAGTTTTTGTTAAAACATAAGGAAGTGTCATATGCTGAGAGATATTAAAACGAGAATGGTTAATACCAAAAACTCAAGAGAAGAATTGAGGATTTAATTGACACATAAACGACTTGAATTGAATGTCGAGCAGTTTGAACAATGGAAAAGTGACCCAGACTTAGGGGGCAATGCTGATTGACACACTGTGCAAGCTGTAAAGCGAAAACTTTATTTTCGTAAACAACGAATTTGGTGTTGATTCTCCTGGTCGAAAATAAGCCACCAATGCTCACTGAGGAGGTTTAGTGAGAGGTGATGAAATTGGGAGAAGGGAATTCCTTGAAATTATGTCAATAAATACGCATGCGCGAAGCGAATTCGCCAGTAGGAAACGAGTCGGAGCAGAAGAGACAGAGACAGAGGCAGAAGAGAGAAGAGAAGCCCACGCGATTATCTGCCGACGAAAGCCTCCGACTTCAGCCTTGTGTCAAACTTTACCAACAACAGCAAGCATGATTTTTGCCATGTCGACGATAGTATCACTTCCGATTTAGATGCCAGCTGGGCTGATTAGTAATTGCATGCGAAGTCTGATATACACCAATTATTGTACGGAGGATTGATATAAAAACAGTAATTACATTTGTTCAATTTATTTCTGTGTTATTTTTTTCCTGTACGTCATCGCCCTGCTTGGACCAGCCCTAACTAGGGTGTTGCATATATATATATATATATATATATATATATATATATATATATATATATATATATATATATATATATATATATACACACCACACATATATATATATAATTATATATATATATATATATATATATATATATATATATATATATATGCCATATCCTTTTTGGATCTAGGCAATCATGAATCTCTATAGCTCCTCTTTTATTATCGGTGAATTGTTTCTCGGAAAGATAATGGAGTAGTTCCTCTTCAATTGTCTTCTTCAAGGTTTTATATTCAGAGTAGTGAACATTGTTTAGCTGTCATCTAAATTTAATCTGCTACTTAACTGGTAATAATGTTCATTAATGTTTTAAATTCAGAATTTTCCTTCTAAGAAGACTGTCCGTCGTGCAAAGCTAGAGTCAAGTCTACCCTACTATTTAATTCATAGCTGATATCCGAATAGAAAGGCAGAGATATTTCTTCGTTTTGGTGCGTGTTTTGTGCAAATAATTTATTGTGCAAATAATTTAGACAGTCAACTCACCTCATCTTTGAGAGCAGTGATGACGTCACCTGCCAGCTATCAAATGAGAAAAATTATCATTAATATTTATTTTAAAACGTGACTATAAAATAAAATTTAAAAAAGTAAAAAATGTTTTCTTTTTAAACGCTTATTTGAATAAAAACAGTGTTTCAAAATATCAACGAATAGTGTTTAAAAAAATTAGTTGTCACATTTGATCATTAAATGTTGGTATTGGAAAGTCCCCCATGGGGATCTCCTTACAGGTTTCATGACTCATCTGGATCAGATAAAAGATCTGATGAATTTTTCAGTGATGGACATCATAGATGGATTGATTATTTTGCTAGTGATTATTCACCCTGAACGCTCATCATCTAAAACTGAGACTCGACTGGTCTTTAAATGCATGTGGTTATGTTCATCCTAATGAACATTTCCTAAAAGCCTTTAAAGAGACCCAGGAGCAATTTTACCTAATGCAGATACGTTGTTTGAAATTGCCAACTATCGTAAAGATTACAGAGCCGTTTCAATACAATTTTCCAATAATTGATCACGAGTAAATATCAGAAGTCCTCTGAGTAGACTGACTCAGTTGTAGGCTGGGTAACAAAGAGCGTTAGCTACGTGCGAATATCCGTTGAAAGGTAAAATCAGTGTACATACTATTTCTTGCTTGACCCTTGTGAACGTGGGTGATTATGGTTCTCCACATCTTTCGCATCTTGTTGCTTTAAGTAGATTTTAACCTTTTATACCAGTTCTGCCATCCACTCGCACAAATTCGTCAAGTAGCTTACTCGCAGTTACACTATGCCCCTCTTTCCTTTAATATGCCCAGTATGCACTAAATCTCCAGATCTTATTTTCTCATGATGTGTCCCAGATGTCCTACATTGGTAGACTGACTCAGTAGGCTGGGTAACAATGAGTTTTAGCTGCGCACGAATTTCCGTTGAACGGGAAAATTATAGTACGTACAGGCCTGGAACATTCCGCTCTTCTTTTAGGTCCCCTTAGGACGTGGGCGATTATAGTCCTCCACAACTTCCTATCTTTTGTTGCTCGAAGTAACTTTTGACCCTTTAACATTTCATTTTGTACCTGTTTTAACATTCATTCACAGAATCTTGTAGGTTCGCTGTTTTCACTTACTTTTATTTTTTCAATATGTCTCGTGAGTGTTAAATTCTCCAAGCCGTCTTTCCTCATTACGAGTTTTTGTAATTTTCAACTGTCTTGTGGCTCTAGATATCTCGAAGGTGTTTGACAGGGTTTGGCACGCTGGTCTTCTATGTAAGCTTGAGGGCTACTGTGTCGCAGGACGAATGTTTGATTTAATCCAATCGTTCCTATCAAAACGTGTAATGAAGATTCAGATTCCAGATCCTTTCACATGAACGCGGGTGTCCCTCAAGGTCATATCCTGGGTCATACGCTGTTTCAGATCTTCATCAATGATCTCCCCAATGTAACCATGTCCCAACGAGATATCTATGCAGATGACACTATCATCTACTCCTATCTAATAGCAAATCCGTCAGATCTGACAAACTAAAACTGGCGACTGCTCTTGAAAAACCCCTAATCACTGGTTAACTGGGGCAAGGAATCGCTTGTAAATTTTAACGCCTCCAAAATAAAACTGATTGCTTTTAATAAACACAAAGAACATTTTCTACAGCAAAGATTCTTTTGTCAAAACGGACTACAATAATCTTTCATCAAAACAGACTATTATTAAGCTTGTATCAAAACAGACTATATTAATTAAGATTTATCAAAACAGATCATATATTAATCTTTTATCGAACCAGACTATATTAATACTTTTATCAAAACAGACTATTATTAAGCTTTTATCAAAACAGACCATTATTAATACTTTTATCAAATGAGACTATTATTAGTACATTTATCAAAACAGACTATTATTAAGCTGTTATCAAAACAAATTTATTATTAAGCTTTTATCAAAACAGACTATATTAATACATTTATCAAAACAGACTATTATTAATACTTTTATCAAAACTGACTATTATTAAGCTTTTATCAAAACAGACTATTATTAATACTTTTATCAAAACTGACTATTATTAATACTTTTATCAAAACACACTATTATTAAGCTTTTATCAAAACAGACTATATTAATACTTTTATCAAAACAGACTATTATTAATACTTTATCAAAACAGACTATTAATAAGCTTTTATCAAAACAAATTTATTATTAAGCTTTTATCAAAACAGACTATATTAATACATTTATCAAAACTGACTATTATTAAGCTTTTATCAAAACAGACTATTATTAATACTTTTATCAAAACAGACTATTATTAATACTTTTATCAAAACAGACTATTATTAATACTTTTATCAAAACAGACTATTATTAGTAATTTTTTTCAAAACAGACTATTATTAATACTTTATCAAAACAGACTATTAATAAGCTTTTATCAAAACAAATTTATTATTAAGCTTTTATCAAAACAGACTATATTAATACATTTATCAAAACTGACTATTATTAAGCTTTTATCAAAACAGACTATATTAATACTTTTATCAAAACAAACTATAATTAAACTTTTATCAAAACAGATTATTATTAAGCTTTTATCAAAACAGACTATATTATAAAATGTAAGCGAATGTGATAACACGACTGGAATTTGGACTATTCATTAATTCACAGTGTCTGCTTTTTAGGCATTTCTAATGAAATTCTTGTCGTTAATCTTCCTTGGGGAATTAATACCATAATTCATATAACGACATAAGAGAAAAACTATTTCCATTTTTTCAATCGTCTTTCCATCTTCATCACTGAGGGTCGGGTACCATAGACAAATGCACCAATGTTTTCCATCGCCTCCCTCAAAAATGACCGTGCACCCCGCCGGCATTCTCCCTATTTAATCTGATATCATGAGTCCAGCGTCACCTTGGTGTTCCTCTCGATCTCCTGTCATCGACGCGCCTTTTCATAATGTGGGCACGTTCATATATTGAAATTAAAATTGAAAACCATTGTAAATTTGTTAAGTGATAATCTTTTTTGCCATTATTTGACATTCACAAATGAAAACATTAATTCTTGACTGTATATCTAAATAGTTTGAAAAGTATTTGCGAAAATATTTTCAAAATATTATTCCCTAAGTAAGAAAAATGTAAACACAATTTCAAAAGAATTGAAAATAAAATAACTTTCATAAACTAAATTCGTCGTTTGAATTTTACCAGGAACGAATTAACTCTTTGATTATTCTGATAATTCAAATATTCCAAAATGTCGATGAGATATAAAAGAAAGGAGCCTCTTTTATTTTTTATTTTTTTGTTTGGATTAATCCTTTGCAGTCGATAACATTATGTAACATTATCGACACCCGCTTCGAAAGCTTTGACAGGGCGGTTCAACATGGCGGTTAACATTGAAGGACAAGTCGAAAACATACCTTAAAATATCGCTACGATATAAGCACATTTTAGGATTACACCCTACCGATCCCGCATATATGATGGACTATTCCGTTTTTATCGCGAGGTAAGACAGAAAAAGACATATCAGAGACACTGTTTATTTTCAGTGAGAAAAACAAATAAATAAAGAAAGAAAGAAAGAAAGGGAAGAGGAGGCGATAATACTGTCGTGTTTTTAACATTTGCTTCAATGAAATGCAGAATAATTTGACAATCTATATATATAAAACAGAGGATGTCTGTCTGTGTGTGTGATACCTTTTCACTCGAGATCCATCCAACCGATTTTGACCAAACTTGGCACATACATTGTACAATGTAAGAGATAAGTTCTTAGCATAAAAAATCGATAATTTAAAAAAAATCAATAATCGATAAAACCGATCAAAATCGATAAATTCAACTTTTTCCTCCGATTGCGTTCAAACTCGGCATATAGGTTACTCACATCATGACGAGCTCAACGATACATAATTTTGATTTCTACACCACTGCGTTTAGCGAAAAACCAAAAATCGATTTCAACACAAATTTTAAACTAAAAACTCCCTGAATTTTCAACCAATCTAATACAAATTTCAATCAATGTTAGCCAACAATAAATTGATTGTTTAACAATCATTCATCTTGAGAATTGAGTCGACCCATATAGTAAAAACCCGTGTAAATAGCGAAAAATGGCGATTTTTACTGGTTTCTTTCTTATTTTTCGTTGATCTTTTGATCAATTGTTAAGTTTGATGAAAATTGGTTAAAACCAATTTTCATCAAACTTAACAATTGCTTTATAAATGTATCCTCTTTTACATCCCTGGTAGCATACTGACAAATTGAATTTCAAAAACTCCAAAATAATTGTGGTCTGAAGTGGGTCTTCATGTTGCTTGTTTTACCCCTTCATGTCATCGACTAACTTCGATTGAATAAATACAAACTACTTCCGTTATATCAGTAACTGCATTAATTCAATTTTTTTTTAATGAACGTACTTGAAGAAGATAGACTTTGTTATATCTAAACATGATGCTGTTTTTGCTCCATTCTAATTGAACGCTTTTTTCTGGTCGACCAGCTGAGTATAGATACTGGTTTTATATATTTTCATTTGTACGGATAAACTCTTCGTTATGAGATGTATGAATTTAGGCACAATAACAGATTGGCGGCAAAGTCTCATCAATTCACAGTGATGTAACCATAAGTTCTATGCTAACAGTTTCTTTTCTCGCACTTCTTGCCCGTGGAACTCCCTTCCGGCTCCATACTTTCCAGCCAGGTTTGATCTTCAAAAATGTAAATGCAATGTCAATCGTTATCTTCTGTTTTCCTGGTTACTCTTCTATTCGTCTCACTCTTTAATAATGTTTCTATTTTTTCTTATTCTTTCACACTTAGTAACTCATTGTGTCTTAGTGGCTTTACTCCCTTGCATGGGGTGATATAATTAAAATAAAACCGCACTTACTTCATTAAAGAATGACCTGCAATCATATTTATAATTGTTATTTACCCTATTTATTATGCCCGGACTGTTATCATCATTTTTGCTGCCA